ACAGCACACCTGTATCCCTTGGATAAATACCTAGTAGTGCAATTGCTGAGTCATAGTGTAGTTCTATTTTTAATTTTTTGAGGAAACTCCATACTGTTTTCCAGAGTTTGCCTCATTTCTTAGATGACAGAACTTAGGTTTACAAAGAGGGTAAGTAAATTGCCCCAAGGTCTATGTAGCTAGAAATGGTGGAACAATAATCTAACCAAGTTCTATGGGTCTTTTCCTCATCTCTGGCTAATGTGTGGATGACTGAAATTTAAATTCCAGTTCTGTGAATGAAATACCTAAAACAGTATCTGATACCATATACGTACTCTCATGGTTGCTTTCTTTTCTAGTTAGCTATGTGCCCCAGTCCTGTATCTTTGACAGTTTGTGAGACAGCTGTCCCACTGAAGGAAGGTAAATTCAGTATATCTGCTACCAAAACCACTATTCCTATCCCTGCCCTGCTTAGATTGCTCTTCCTCTCACCTTCGTGGTTTCTGTCCATGAAACTTTTATTCATTCTTATCTCTCAGGCTGGCTTATAATGCTGTCTTGGTTTAATCTTCCTTTGCTAACTTCATGTGGGCCCATTCAGTGGAAGCCTAGATTTTGCAGTAGACTTCTACTTGACCTACCTCTCTCTCTCTTTCTTGAATCTCTGTTCATTCCATATGTTGCTGTTTGGATTAATTACTCTAAAAATACCCTTTTAACCACTTACCATCTTACTCATTTTCTAGAGCTCTTACTATGTGTCTGACACACAAAATTCTTTAATTAGACAGAATTTACTATATGCCAAATTATATACTAAATTGTGTGAATCCAGCAACTACTATTTCATGGACAGCTAATCAAAGAATCTCAGTTTACTTTCTTAATGCAAAGACATCTGTCTGTAGTCCAGTTGAGAAGATAAAACATACACAGTGAACAGAATTGGTGACCAAAAAGAATATTATAATGTTAGCTCAGAAAAATAACAAGATTTTCATGTATTTTGATAACTGAATACTATAATCTTTGGAAGAGAAAAGAGCTACTGTATATTTTCCCCCATAAGCCCATCTTTAAATTTAAAATAAAAAAGGTATTTTGGGGTAAATAAACCCACTTTGTATGATCACATTGATTTTATATATTTTTATGTGATTTCTGAAAAAGTTATAGTAATATTTTAATTGTGGCCTCTTAAATGTATAGTAGATATAAATGTGAAAATTAAAAATGTAAAAATAGTAAGAGAAAAAAGCTATAACTGTATAATACTAAAAAAGATAAATGAGGCCATATATGCAAGGGCATGACCACATAACAGAATTTTGATGGACTTGCCTGTATACATTTTTTTTTGAGATTCTCATTACAAAAAAACATAAAAAACAAGGTAAAAATGCAAGTAACTAATTTAGGAAAAATATTTTATATATGATGAGAAAGAATTTAGTCGCCTTTAGAGAGGAAGAGTTTTTAGAAATAATAATAGAAATAATATGGTATAAAAGAAATAATATGGAACTAAAAGAAGGATTGAGTTAAGAATGAGGCAGCAATTAGCAAAGTAAGAATTATCAATTACTGTAAAGATGTTCTTAAAATATAATCATACCAACAATGTAAATGCAAAACAGAACAAGAATTAGATACCATTTTTTAAACTTATAGATTGGCAAAGATTTTTTTTAAATGATATGCCCAGAATGGACACTCATACCCCCTGCTTATGGAAATGAAGATTGGAGGCTGGTACTCTATCTTTACTCAAGGGCATTTGGGATGCATACAGATAAACATTCACACGCGCGCACGCGGGCGCGCACACACACACACGCACACACACACAGATAGATAGATAGATATACAGGCATGTATCCTAAATAAATATTTGGGTAACTGTGTAAAGATGTATGTAGAAGGTAACCAATAGGGAATTGCTTAAGTAAATCCATTAAAGGACACTGTGAAAGGACACATCAGCCAGTTAAAATGATGTAGATTTATATTTATAGTGCAAAAACATTAACTTATATAATGGGATTTTTTTAAAGCCTTTTAAAAATACTATGATTAGATAAAATACATTTTCATTTTTGGCAAATAAAAAAGGAAGAAAAAGGAAATAAAAGAAAAAATGTATCTACTGTCTATTTAAATGATGGGGATGTCTAGGATACCAATGGTGTCGAAGATACTTGTATCTGGGTAGTAATTTCACTAATTTAACTTTTAAAACATTTTTTTTCTTTCTTATGTCTGCTTCTTTTTTCTTCTAAACTTTCTCTTACGTTGAACATCAGAGCCACTTCTGTTTCTTTTTTTAATTGCTCCCCATTGGGCTGTCTTTGCTCCTCAAAGACAGTCAGCAATCTGAGGCAAGGACTGTGTTTGCATCTCTGTGGCCTCAGTGCCAGGAAGGTGCTGAGCATACGAGGCTGATAGAATAGTTGGACTGTAAATGAAAATGATTATTATTTCTACAGACCTGGTTGCTAATAATGTCGATACAAAGCAGATGGCTGCAGGTACTTTGAGAGTTCATTTTATTTGTGGACTAAAAGTTCGACAGGAAGTGATAAGATGATTCCAGTAGGAATATCTCTGTGTTCCTAAAGGACTTCTACGTCATCAAGAATCTAGCTTTTTAGCAATGACCCCATATTGCCATAAGCTTCAGCAGATAACAAGTGGAGAATGATAGCTGTTTTAATGCTGTCTGCAGAGAGTTTTTTTGTTTGGTCAGGGCCCTGGTTCCAAATTAAACGAAAGCATTAATGTAGCTTTGGAACCACCACCTTCAGGAATCACTTGCAATAGTACAAGCTGAGTCACACCCAACTATTTATCATTTCTTTTGTGAGATGGGCCAGATAGGAGAGTTGGTTTTCTTGTGAGAGTGAATTGTTAAAATCTGGATGTTTATTAGAAATTGGTTGAAAGAAAGAGAGGAGTGGTCAAGCAGGGATTCACTTATTTTTACCCTTTTCCTAATGCTGCAATTTTTTAAGTTGGAAACAAAATTAGTCGTCTTTTATTTTGCTGGATCCCCAGGAAGTTAATTGACTTTCCCAGGGCCTCAAAGCTCATTAATGGATGAATGCAGAGTCAGAATGCAGGCATCCTGAAATGTGACAATTTAGCTTGGCCTGAAGTTCTGTGAAAGGCACTGGAAGTTTGTTGTTATTGTTTTTAAATAAGCAGACCTGCAGTCCATTTTCCAATAGGCACTGGGAGAAAGCAGCAAGCCTGTTTGCATCTGCATGGCGTGAACAGGAGATTTCGTATTCTTGGGAATCAGTTGCTGCCTGCCAGTTCTCACCCTGGCCAGCTGCTCCTCCCACGAAGACAGCTGTGGTTGCTGGGAATCAAGAGTCTGCAAGTGTATATATTCATTTATTCAGTCACCATTCATTTGTTCATCCTACAAATATATATCAAGCACTTGCTAGACAAAAGGGACTCTTGTAGACACTTAGAATACATCCATGAACAAAACTAAAGAAAGCCCCTACTTACATGTAGCTTACACTCCTGCTACAGACCATAGAAAATAAATATAATTAGTAAGAAAAGTGTAGAGAGTGCTGGAAGCTGACAAGAGCCTAGTAGAGCAGGGAAAGGTTGATGGGGT